AGAGGTTCGGGAGGTGGTCCACGGACGCCTTCCACGGATACCTCTGGGAGGACCATCGGCGTCAGGCTCCATTCGCCCGAGGCATGGCGGAGGGCCGCGCCTTACTGGCCCCGGACGCCCGCGGTGATGACGGCGTCGCGGCCGGCGCCCGCCCCGACCGGTTGGCCGGGAGCGACCCGCCCCCGTTTGGGAGCAACCTGAGGCCCTCGGAGCGCCCGGCCTGGGCGCCCGGGCGCACCCCCTGGGCGCGCCCTTCGGCGCGAGCAGGGTCAAATATGGAGGGGGAAGGAGAGGAGGAGCCGGTGAGATACGAGCCAGGGCGAGGAGTTAGCGGGCGTGTTGGGAAGCAGCAGGCGGGTCCTACAGGTGTTCGTTTCGGGGCGGGGGCTTCGCGTTGCGGGGGTATCCCGGTGGACCTCTCGCCCTCGACCCTCTTTTCGCTGCCGCCCCCGATCGCCCCAGGCACGCCCACCTCCTCTTGGTCCGCTCATCCGCAGCCATCTCCCACTCCAGAGCGAGGCGCGCGAGCAGCGCGCGCACCCCAGCCTCGCGCGCCAGCCGCGCCCCCGCCCCGCGCTTCGGCAGCGTGCATCATGGGATTCCTGGTGGGCCTGGTGGCCCCGGACCAGAGCAAGGCGCGCGACCATGACTACAGCATCATGGCGGTGAACCCCCTCGGCGTCGTCGTCTCGGGGGCCGCGCTGTCGGACGAGCTCCGGAGTGCCGCCCACAACATCCTGTACACGGTGGTGGACGAGCTGGACAGCGAGGACCTCGTCGAGGTGGTCAACCACGACCACGAAGCAGCCCCGTGCATCGCGGCGGCTTGCCTGGCCGCGGGGGCGAGCGAGGACCACGGCCAGCTGGTGATCGTCGACGGCAAGCGGGGTGCGTGGGGGGTGGGAGCGGGGCCGAATATCAAGGTCCAGCGCCAGGCGGCCAAGCTGGCGCTCGCCTTGGCCCAGTTCCAGGGGCAGCCCATGCCGGAGCTCCGCGAGCTCTGCAAGCACAACAGGGGGCTGCTCGACATGATGCGCACAGTGGACGCGGAGGAGGTCGTGGAGCTCACCGACGACGACGCCTCGAGCAGGGGCGAGGGGAGTCCGACCCCAGCCCCGGTCCTCGAGGCGGGAGAGGACGCGGTCACCGCGGCGCTGGCGCGTGCGGCCATCCAGGCTGCCGCGCGGCGCCAGAGCAAAGGCGCCCCAGTGGCGCGCCCGCGGCCCGCGCGGTCGCCGGGCCAGGAGCGCCTCGCCGAAGAGGTCCGCAAGCGCGAGAGGCGCCCTGCGCCCTTGCGCTCGCCTTCGCGCGCGAGGCGCCGCGATCGCGAGCGCGATGCGCCTCGCGATCGCGGGCGCAGGGGACAGGAGGAGGAGGCCGTCTTGAAACCCAAGACGGGCGGCGCCCCCCCGAAGGCCGACATCGTGAAGCGTGAGGCCGTCCTGAAGCCCAAGAGCGGGGGGGGCGCCGCCGCGGTCCTTCGAGGTGAAGACCGAGGTGGAGGAGGCGCCAGGCGCGGGGGACGGTCCGCCCCAGCGCCAGCCGCGCTCGAGGAGCCGCCGTAGGCGCAAGGAGGAGCAGCGCCAGGGCGCCCAGCAGCAGCCCAGTGACCAGCACGACGTGGGCGAGTCCATCATCCGCATCGAGCGGGTACCGCACCACGTCGACGCCGAGGTGGTCAGGCAGGTGGTCGTGCCCTTCGGGGTCGTCAAACACATCGCCTTCCTGTACGACCACCGCCACAAGCGGGAGCCGTGCGTGCTGGTGGAGTTCCAGCGCCGCGCTGACGCCAAGCGCGCGCGGGAGTGCATGAGGTCGAACTATCGGTTCTACAAGACGGACCCGTGCACGGTGGTCACG